CAAGAATGTACTGCTTTTGAACATTCAAAGAGTTATCACAATAGTAAATTGCAAAGGGACGTCTTAAATTTGACTAGTAAAAGGTTGTCATCTACAGTGGATACTACCACAATTCTCACAGGGTACTCTTCACCGCAACGATGAGCATTTAGCAGACATTACACATACAAGTTGTAATAGTGTTGTTTAAATCCATGACTGAATGTATTACACGGTTTATTGACGTACTGACTAGAATAGTCACATAATCACGTTATTTGAACCCATATTTGAGTGAATCGCAAGGCGGATTAATGGATTTAGTTAGTGGTAGTCCTATCTGGATGAACTCTTTTACGCCCGTGTGTAGTATGTCTGGCAAAAAAAACACCCGATTTTCCGACCAAACCACAAAGCAAAATATATGTGATAATATACTAAATGAAAGCAAAAATGTGTAAAACAAGTTGTCTTACCTTACTTTACTTCATAAGAGCATTTGGCCACCTGAGGACACACTGACATATTATCTCAGAACTTGCTAGAACATTTAACCAATCTGCATACGTATTGAACAGTATTCCTTCAACTCCTTAATGAAATACGAAGACTTGAGTTGGAAGGGTGTCATCTGGCATGTGGGAACATTGTGGCCGACACCAGTTGATTTCCATTCACTTTCTTCCCGTTTGCTCATTTTGGTGGGCAGAAACTTTATGTCACTCCTTTTGCAATCAAACGGTAGCTTCCTGGTCCTTTAAACGTTATCTTCAAGACCAGTTACTTTACAACTTACTGCTTACAAACTTAGACACTTTCTGCATACTATCTATTACCTGTACAACTTACAAGCTTTGTAATTAGCATTTTCATAGTATTTCCAATAATTTTAGCCCGTAATGTTTAGAATTTGCACGTTTTGTGGGTATTTTTGAAGCAGATTAAAGTGAAATGACTTATTACATTGGCTGCCAGTGTTGACTTCCTAGATACGTATGGTAGCAAAGTCCTAAGTTACGGTTAACGCCTTATGGCATCCAACCCAATATCTCTAGTTTTCGGAATCTACTCCAAAACTAGGTTGACTAAGAATTGAATTATGAGCGTCATATTATCGGAAACCAACTATGAGTGAACTTCGTTTTTGAAGTCACTTATCGTCATTTATCCAACATTTTCTCAATAGACGCTCGCAGCATTTACAAAACAAGTCTGAGAAAGTAAATGAAAGAAGAAAAGTTTCTAAATTTATGAAGAAGAAGAAAATCGTATGTAACTAAACCATAGAGGACATCGATCACGTCAACATAAAAGCCGGAAGAGATAGAGAAAAAGGAAATACGAAAAACAGCGACGGTAAAAGAACGAACAATAGTAGCTCGGCACGGTACCTTATATACTTTTTAGGAGGGTCATCTAAACGAACAGTGGCTATATCCTGGATCGAGTTGATGTAGAATATACGGAAATTTACGTAAACTGACATTCACTTAACCACGGCATGAATAATCAAAATATTTGTTTAAAGTGCTCAGCTTTAGTTTTTTTAGAGCAAAAGAGCTTTTTTTATGAACTTTTATTATAATAATATCCCCGCATTGCCGTTTTCTTCAGAGGCGGTACCCACAGCCTAGTGTAGGCTGAACGGTTTAAACAAACGTATAGATTATTCACTCCGATGTTATGTAAAAGTCGGTTCAGTTAATGATCACTTCGCTAACTGCTAGTTACAGTAATAGCTACAGGATCAATGGTCGAAATGAAAGGAAATGACTATCAGTTGACAGTCAGTCAACAACCGTTCTGTATGAAAGAGCACCGCCGGTTGAGGTTGCTTCATTCGAAGGTGCTCCACTGAAGAAGATTCGACTAGATACGACAACAAGACCATACGTCAAGAAGACGAACTTTTGTGGACCATCGACACGGATCATCGGCTATGAGGTAGAAGAAGACATTGGATTGCGACCCAATTAAACATATTTATCAACCTTAACCGTTTTATTTACTGCCTACTCTTTTTGATGGCAGGGTATATTGCGAAATATAACTTCGATGATGCTGAGACATTTGCAAAACTCCGGACCACAGGTGTATGCGTTGGGGAACGAACGCACTGCTGTCCTTTCCGGGGAATAACGCGTTCACCACCACACCATGCGGGTCCTTCGTCTCGCCTTTCTCTCAGCCAGTTCTATCGATTTTGGTCATCAGCAAACATCCGTCAGCGGGATTATTGAAGATAAATTTATCAACTTCGTGTAAGCTGAACAATTTGATAAATACACAAATTTACAACAAACGGAATTCCAAGTGCTGACCGCATCGTGATTATATGGGGCTTGAATTCTTTTCCGTACCACTAAAGTATCCATGGATCGCTCTCATAGAGAAATCTCACGCCGATTATTCGCGAGGCACTGTGAAGCATCCCTAGGTGGGGGATAGTGGGGTAATCACGGACCAAAAGCGACCCGAGCTTCCACGAGGAGCAGGTAGATTCGGGGAATGGACTTCATGTTTTGCTGCACCCATTACCTTTTCTATTTGCGAGGATGTATTCACGCCTGCGTGCTGGGGTGTGTTCTCGTTTAAACGGATTGTATTCTACGAGCCAATTCGGACAAAAGCCTGCAATCAAGTAGATGGGTAATATAAGAGAGGTAGTTAGAAGTCGCCTCTCGCAAATGACCCAGTCCCCACGTAAGAGCTCAGCAAGCTATACGTAGGTATCAAAAAGCTAAACACAGTAAAATAAATGGTCCATTTTCTCCTGAGCCCAAAAGAGCCCTAATACGGCAGCGTTTGTAGGATAAGTACGGAGAGCCCGCTAAAATCTCAAGGCCGCTCTAGCCCACCTGAACCACAAAAGACTAAGGTGACGATCTATACCTACACTGCACGAACACTTGCATCTGAATCCTCGATAGAAGACATTATCATGTAAGCACGAAGGATAAGGTAAGACGTCATCGGAGTGGCTGAGACCGAGAAGACGCTACACATTAAAAGCCGTCTATGACACCTGAGAATAGCTGCTTCTCGGAATATGCGATAATGGAGAAACAGGTGGAGTCAGCTTTTTTCAATACGGGTTTGGCCATGAATTTCGATTAATTCGAGCAAATAATACCCCATATTGGATGTTTACGAATGGGGAGATGTGGAACAATATCGCCTTGGCAATCTTCGGCGTTTACGCGCCAACATCAAACTATGACGAAGAAGAAGTCCAAAAGCTCTACATGGACTTGTGGAAGCTCTACAGAAAAGACCACACATTCTTTAAGGTCATCGTCGAGAAATTTAACGCTAACATTGGACCAAGAATAATGTCCGAAGGGCGTCACATTGGTACCCACGGAATAGAATGGAACGAGCAAGGGTGAGCAGTTGTCTGCCTTTATCGTGACGACCAGGACCATTCCTGGTAACAAACAGCCTGCATCATAGCAAATCATAGGATCATAGGTCTTACCTAATCGATACCGCTATTGTCCCAAAATTCTACATGGAATCAGACAATCGCCTACTTTTTGCAAGTTTTCATTTCTTGTGGAGAGGTGAAAAAACAGTTAATTCAAAAAAGACTGCCCAAAACCACCATAAACTATGATTTATTCAGTACATTAATCGGCTGTTGGAAGATTGCCGTTCTTTATAACGTCGACGAGTAACACAATCGGCCGAATCAACACCATCACGTTAGCACCATAAAAGCTAGGAGTCCAAAAGGAAATGCGTCTCTAGAAACTTAAAAAATCATAAAGAGAGAAGAGCAGCAGCTATGGTCGAAGTTGCAGATGCTGGGAAAAGCATTAGCGAAGGCTACGGAGTCCTCGCCAATTACGAAACCAATATGATTGAACTCCGACGCCCAAACAAATTACGGCTTCCAGAAAGGCAATTGAGAAATTCATTCTCGACTAGTACTTTGATCTCTTCAATACCCACGTCCTTTTGCTTTATACAAAATAAAGAAGGAAGGATATGTCATCCTACAGGGTTCCTCCTTAAGAAATCCCAAATACTATTTCATCGGTGAACAATCGAGCAACACCTGGTCTGGAAAGATAGAATCGGAACACCTGAAGAACCTACTTCAGTCCTCATAAACACATTGACTCTGTTGTTCACGCGTTACCTGTCTGAATGCAAGGTTTCCACTCAGTGGGAAATCAGCAAGACCATGCTGTTATTCAAGGAGGGTGAACTCCACGAGAATGACATCTATCAGCCATCTGCTTGCTCTCTGTCGTGTACAAACTTTTCACTCGAATTTTGCCAAATAGTGTTGATAGGACACTGGACGAAAGACAGCCAAGAGGGCAAAAAGGGCTTCCAAAAGGATTTAGTACGATGGGCCATCTCGACACGGTGGCAAGGCTCGTTGAAGTGCCACGAGAACACAAGAGACCGCTTTGTCTTAATACTAACATCGACGTCAAAAGAGTGGTTAGGCAGGGCAATACCATTTTGCCAAAATTATTTACCGGCATTCTCGAGAACATCATGAGAACGCTGGAATGGAACAACAATGGAATGAAAATCGATGGTCGGCAATTACATCATCTTAGCTTTGCCGACGACACCGTTCTGATAACACCAAACATCAACCAAAGGGAATTACTGTTTGCTGACTTTGATAAAGCCTGTAGTAAGATCAGTCTTTGACTAGATTTCAGTAAAACAGTGTTCATAAGGAGTTCATAAGGAAGCCATTTATGCTCAACAGAATGAATGACTTTGAACGCTCCAGTTACGTCCATCTAGGTCGGTATATCAACGTAATGAAATGTTTATCTTCAGAGTTTAGCGCAGGAAGAAGCGAGCGGCTTGGGCAGCTTCCAAGTGTATTGAGGATGTAGGAAATAGACCAAAGATCATTCAACTCTGTGCCTACCTTCTCTACTCCACTATTCTTCCTGCCTTAACGTATGCGTCAAAAATCTGGTCGCTGCCTAAGCAGGATGAAAGATCACTCAGCGTTATTGAACGCGCAGTCGAAAGGACGATGCTAGGAATATCCCATATCACATAAATGGGGGAAGAGATCCGAAACTTCGACCTACGTCAAAGATCAAAAATGCGAGCCCATAGACAAGAGCCATTAGTGACTGGATTCCACAGGATATCAAACGTACTGCAGAGAAACCACCGAGCCTATGGTGTGAGTTCTTCGTGAAGATCCTAGAAGAAAGATATGATGCTCATCGAGAACTTAGAGCGAGCAGAACCCACTGGGTTACTCTTGCACACGACAGGGAAAAATGGATGTTTTACTGGTGGACCACTAAAGAGTCCGAAATGTCCCAAAAACATGGAGAGATCCATAGAAGAACTGCCAATATACTCAGGAAATCTTGATTGTAAAACGAATAGCTTAGCTTTAAAGGCAGGATTGCCTTTTCTTAGGGCATTATGGACGGCGTGAGTTGATTCCGATTCAATCGATTAAAGAACCAAAAATTTTAATACTAGATGATCTAAAAATGAGAGGAAATGTTCTCATTACGAGTAAATTTTGTATAAAACAAATACTAAATATGATTCTGGGAGAAAATGTTTTATATTTTTTTCAAATGAATGCTATATAATTCGTGTAGATAGCGTCTCTAAATTTCTCATTTAGGGTTTCGCAAAGATATCTACTGGGTGGAGTGGGACAGCGCAGTCGATGTTGCAATGGATCTAAAGAAGCCGATTTTTCTCCTGATTCACAAAACATGGTGTGGGGCATGCAAAGGTAGAACGTTCGCAAAAAATTTCATAATGAGTTTTGCCATCGAATTGTAACGATATAAACTATCACAAGTAATTTATTAAAAAGGCTTTGCATTGTGCCAAACTCTCAAACTCAAAACTGGCAAAACTCAAGCCCTAGAATTATGACTGAAAAGATTTCGTTCAGTCAGCTACTCAATTCAAAATTTGACACCCTTTCACTAAATTCGAGCCTACGTCGTAAAGAACTACCACTTTAATACCAATATGTTTAAGCCTTGAAACAGGAGTTCAATTCATCACCGAAAATGTCTGACCTTATTGCACTGTCGAAAAAATTCGTCATGGTTAACGTGCAAGATGATGACGAACCTGAAGATGAAAAATATGCCCCAGATGGTGGATACATCCCACGAATCCTGTTCCTTGGTATGTACTTTCGATAGATAACTCTGAAACAACTTGCATCAACCTTAGGTCAGATAACCTGCCACATTTCAGACAGCGATGGCGAGCCCCTAAGAACTAATAATGAGGCGAGATACAAGAATAACAAATATTTCTATCCCCTTATACCACAAGTGGTCGATGGGATGGAAAGAGCCTTGATGGAGTTTGAAGCCATTGAAAAGGTTCATAAAACTAAAAATTTATCCCATCATGCTTACGACATTTCTTTAAGTTCTCAAAATTGTTATATCAAGTAGCATTTATCAAAGTGTAAGAGGTAGGGCCAGCTGAGTGTACGATCGCTAAAATACCCGTGATATAGGCGTCATATACAACTCATACATAACGATGTTGTTCTAGCATGTTAACTTCACTTGTAGTACTAGAATGACTGAACTGGTTAAATAAGTAAGTGTTGTAAGCAATTAATCAGTACATACATACACATGATTTAAAAACTTAGATATTAAGGAAATCACTAAAGGAAATGAAGATGAAGAAAATGAAGATGAAGGAAAACAGACGTTCAAACAAGAAGTTAATGAAGAGGATATTCATTTGAAGAAGGAAAATGTGGACGAAAAACGTGAAAGGGAAACGCAAGTGAAAGGCAAGAAAGAAAGTGGAAAAGGAATGGAGAAAGATGAGAACATAGCGGGCAATGCAAGGAAGAAGGACGGTGACAATGAGAAGGAAGACAGAGAAAAGGAAATGAAGGAAGACACAAAAGGAGAGAAGAAACAAAGAGAGAAGGACTATAAGGTAAGTGTTTCCATTCACCTGTAAGTTTTAAGTATATGTTTTCCGATGAAATGATGACAAACCGAGAAAAATTTTTGTGGAACATCTCTTAGGAGCTTTAGCTAAACTGTGAAGGAGAAGTCAGTTGGTTAATTAAAGAATGTCTTATATTATATCTAATACGAGCCATATGAGACGAAATTATACTCCAGTTCCTTAGTTTTTTGTGAGGTTTAGTGAAATAGCAACCTATATGATGGCTTCTAGATTTTAGTGAAAAATATGCAAGCAAATTAACAGGAACGAAGCTAAATAGATAAAGCAGAGATAAGTATACCAGCTAGCAAATACGCAAGCACACCTATGCGAAGCTGGCCAGCATGCTACTCTTTCGAAAAGAAGCCGCAAAAACCTCCCATTGCTTTTACCTTCGCCAAGTTTTCCCTTGAATATCGCGCTTCTATAGAAGAGGATTGAAAAATAGAAGACATCGCTACCCATCTGTTGAAATTTCATCCAACAAAAACTGATTAATTTTTGAAGGAGGCGAAAATTTCAGAAACAGGAACTTTGAAGTGGCACGTCATCATCGACTCTCCCCAATGATCTTCATGGACAAAGAAATCGGTTCCAAAATGGCTAAGGCTTTTCCACGGGGTAAAATGTGTCCAAGAATTTGTTACACTACAGAATAAATGTTTACAGAGAAGTGATGGAATTTTTCCGAGTATTTTAGAAAAAAATTCACAAATCCAACTGAATTAGATGCCTTTCCATGAAGTGCTTTTGCTACTCCTTGTCCACGAAAAGTGCTAAGGAAATGCGTTACGACGTTGGCGGGGTTCCAAGTGAAATACCATACTCACAATTCTTTAATCGATTTATTTTCAGCGAAAAAAAGGGTTCGTAAGTGAAGGGGACATAAACTGGTCATGCCTATGCTTAAGAGCAGAGCAGCAACTCGTTGTTTACGGTATGAAATAGTTAGGAACAAAAAACAAGGAAAAACAGGGAATACATTTTTATTCATCACCTGCAGTACCGTTAGTTATTGAGTAACTCGAACGCGCACCAAAAAAGGTTGCGCTCGTTAGCACGAAAATTACAAAGCGTGTCACATTTTCGGCACGAGAACATCCATTGTTGCTATTTTTAGCGAAAATGCGGCCGGTGTAGCTAACTATTCTCTGTCCGATAGAAATCCCGACTCCACAGCTGGGACAGCGCTTGAGTAGACCTCGCCCAACAACCATATAAAAAAGCACTTGACTACACCGATGAAACCATGAAATTGCTAGGAGAAGCAAAATTACGATATCTAGAAAAAATACTACAGTAACAACCTATTACCCATATTCGAGAGGATAACGGAGTGGTTAGTGATCCAGTCCATCAAGAGACATAGTCGTGTTTCGACTCCGTTCCCAACGCTTTTCTCCAATTCACATGAGAACGCTTTAGCTCAGCTCTTTCCAAGACAGGAAGGAGGACCGACCCGACCAGCGTTCCACAACATTCATTAGGAAGACTAACTCCCCAAACAGCAGCCAAAACAACATGCGGAATGTCCGGAGACCATTGGGGACGACGGATCTAATGCTAGAAGTGCCTAGATCCTCATAGTAGATTTGATGATCAGTCATGTAAATAATATAAATTAACTACAAAAGCCAAGCACAGACGGTAAGAACACTTCAAATATCCCACTTCGAGGTGCTTAACGTTGTCTGTGGATCAATGTAATGTCTCGTTATCATGATTTCCGTTCTGAGCAATTGCTAGTGTCCGACAGTCAGCCCTACATTCATCACGAAAAGCAGACCACGCTCTACGGCTAAAGCATGGGCCAGTTATGTTGTCGAGAGACTGATCTCTCTACTTGCTCATCTTTGTCCGGGCTTCCACTTCGAATATCCATGGTCCATTATAGTCCTGTTTTTATGCCTATACACTTGTATTTATATCTATATAAATATATGCATGTATATACACACACGTAAACATGTACATAGATACAAATGTAGACGAGCATGTGTGTACATATTCGTTTATGTATATACCCATATATATGTATATATAGGCATATGCATACATATATGTTTGCATATATTCGCAGTTGAGGTATGTGGTTTGGAGGATTTCCTTTGCTTGCAACTGAGGGGGTTTCTGGAGTAGCAATGGTGATATCCATAAAGGTACGGTTATGTGGAATTGCCATTGTAAGGAGTCGATCACAGTGCTGCGGTAATGGTACTTCAAAAAATTAACAGGACTGTACTACCTTTTGTTAAACGTCGTCATTTCATTCTATTCAAGTGATTCACAGGAAGATTTTCCAGATAATTTAGTCATGCTTGGTTCGGGCGCTGTATTTGAGCAAACGTTTCGCTTTCTTTACGTTTTCTTGCTACTTCCTATATTGTTAGTAATTCTTCTTGCTATTTTATTGGCTGTTTCTGGAAAGTCCTTCGGTCTTCGAGAACAATATGTGGATGCGCTTATCCGAATATTCGAGGCAGGCCTTAGTATTCGAATTCATTCTTTCTCCTTTTTTGTCTTTGCCATTGTTTTTGGGAAGCTTTTTTATCGTTTATTGACTGTGATTTTCAGTGGGGAGCTCGCCAAATTAAAATTCATGAGAAGATGCAGGAGGAGGACGAGGAAACTGCTTGTGTCGATGTATCTTCATCGGAAACATTCGTCCACAATTCACTGGCGAACGAAATCGTTAACGACACTGGACTCACTTGTAGTTATTATTCAGCAAATAGTAGGGTTTTTCGTTTGTCAAGTGCTATATATATATATATATTCATGTACATGTGTATATGTATGGATGCGAGGCGCGTGTAGCACAGTAGTCGTAGCCGCCCTGCAATAGACATGGGATCGGTCCCCGCTCCCCAAGCTCACCAAGCCTTCAGTCCTGGGATCTGCAAACTGTTACCAAACTTGTCTGGGAGGATGGCAGCATTCCCTCGATGCATCGATAGGCCACCGCGAGTCATTGTAAAAGTCAGATATGCATTCATTCGCCTCCAACGATGCTTATTAAGTTCGAATTCATTGCGCATCTCTCAGGGGTTCATCAACGCGGAGAACATTATCCTTTTAATCCTTTATATGTGTATATACATATATAGTGTTACTTTATTCGATGTTCATTGAAGGGAATTGCATTTGTTTCTTTCGCGTGTTTATAAAATACCAACATAACAACACTGCTGCAAATGGAACAGGGGCTATTTGTCAAATCGCTTGGTTTTAGGTCTCCCTTCGCTATCCTCAGTGTGTAAAAGAACTCGTAATGCTTCTGCTGGAAATAGTACGTTGCAGTTTTGTCAGTTTTAGTCTATGTAGGTCTGCATTTTGGGTTGAGTTGGTTTACTCATTGCTCCTTACGCAAAGTGCTATTGTGAATCCGTCATTCTAAAATACTAATTCGTTATAATTGGTGGATTTTAGCGCGTATCATCCATAAAGAAACAGAAATCACTCTCAAAGACGCAGACAGTACTGATCCTTTCCATGAAGTCGTGGTTGAAAGCCGTGGATGGGCTGCCATTCGTGACTCCATAGATTTCATCAAAGTTATTGCGGTTCACTTATAACGTTCACTTTCGATCTTTTGCTCGAGTTGTCCGTTACTTGCTTCGTTAAAAATTTTCATAAATTAATTTAGGCTGGGATTGAGTCAGTAATTGAAGATGAAGTCACAAGTCGTTTTGAGGCCGAACAACTTGTCTCTTGGAACATGCTTACGAGGACTAGTATAAGATCTTATCATTTTGTGAAGTGAGTTGAACGGCTTGAGAGCTATTCTTTCATTATTCGGGATTCTATACATCTGTTCAGCTGGAAGTTGTCAATACTATGGGTTCTGGGTTTCCTGCTTCGTTATTGTCTGATGTTGCCTTTTCGATTTATATTATTCTCAATTGGTGTAGTGCTTCTTCTTGTGTCTACAGCGACTATTGGCCTAGTGCCAGACGGAAAACTTAAAAAGTTGGTTATGACCTTTTTGTACGAATATCTGATCGTCTTACTTAATATCGCCTTTCTTTGTATATAAGCTGAAGTAACTCATATTGCAAAACTGACTTTTCTTTAACCTCGGCATGACAGATCAATATGTATTCTTTTTTTGGTGAACTTACACGAGGTTTATAAATGATCTTTATTTTCGCCTAACGTAAGTTATGTTTCCTCATGAGGCACCACATTATTGGATTTAAGAATATGGATTCACCTCAGCCTTTAACAGATACGTGAAATTTGACGCCTTTAGATGTGGAATGCATTGTTTCTAGGACTCGTGGCTAGTTCATTCAACCTATTTGAAAGTCAATCCCATCCATGAAATCGGGATGAGGGATTTCGGTAACTACCAAGTGCCTCGCAGTTATTTTGCTAATCGGTAATTTTTGTATCATTTATGTACCCATATCTGCTGTTTATGGTGCTATTGGCCGCGTGTAGCGCAGTGATTGGAGGCGCCCTGCAATACACATGGTCCCGGCGCCACAGGCTCACCAAGCCTTCGATCCCTCCAGAGTCGGCAAATTGGTACCACCATACTTATCTGGCAGGGCAATAGCACTGGCTGGATACATCGGTAGACTACCGCGAGTTATTGTAAAGGCCATATATGCATACAGTCATCTCCAACGATGCCTAAGGAAGTCGAATGCATAGCGCATTCCTCGAGGATTAATCAACGCCGAGTGCTTTTAGAGATTTATGGAGCGATAGTCTTGTATTCTTCGATTATTTCAGACAGTTGAACTCCAGCTGCATGTTATTATGTTGCCGGATTTTGTCACAAAGTCTCACTGCTGTTGTCAAGTTCTACGATGTTCATAACAGAGCTCGAAATGGAGGTAGATTTTGCCATATTTGGTGGCATTTAATTATTTCTGTATGCATCCTTTTTAAAACTGAAGACTTGATTTGACATTTTGTACATTCATCCTATTCCAGCTGTACCAGGGTATTTTAGTCTCTTGTAAAAATGTGTTCTTTAGGAATCTGTGTTTCCAATCATACTTCTCCTATCGACGTCGTCCTGCTATCTACGGACAACGTCTATGCTTTAGTTGGCCAGCAACATTTTGGAGCACTTGGCCTGATCCAACGTGCCTTGTCCAGAGCAAGCAGACACATATGGTTTGAACGAACAGAAGCAAATGACAGGCGACTAGTTACCGCAATGTGAGGAGTTTCTGAAAGTTCTAATTCTTCATTCTAGATAACTTTTTTAATATATTCGCTTTTTCAGACTGCGGGAGCACTGTAGAAGTTCAACTAATCTTCCGATTTTAATATTCCCAGAAGGAACATGCATTAACAACACATCAGTTATGATGTTTAAGAAGGGCTCATTCGAGGTTATACCTACTGCCGTTTTACCATTGTCATATATTAGAAATGATGTAACAGCGTAGATTGAGACCCCATTTGAGCGCACACTGCAAATTCCTGGTTGAAGCCAGACAAAGGCCTCTTGTTTCTTGGTATCTTTAAATTTATTGTATATCGTATACGTATCTTCGAGTGTTGAGGCTTGGTTTGTCTGCTAGCCTTTGAGAGCTATTGTACAGAGGAGACCCAGCCCATGTTTCCTTAGTTGGTTTGCGAGTTTAATATGATTGTGGATGTAGAGAATCTATATCGTTGTGTTTATTCTTCAGCTTTTGGATTTATGAAGGATTACCTCATATTTTAGCTATTCCACTATGTAGACTTGAATCTCCTATTAGTCCTTAGTATTTTTGTTGAGCAAACGCAAAGTGTTATTCCACTCTTTATTTACGAACAAGTTGATGTTTCAGCGGATTTCGCCTACCTCAGCGGTCAACTTGACCTTTCCAGGCTCTGAACAAGGCGAAATCCGCCGAAACAACAACTTATTTGTGAATGAAGAATAGTATATCTCCTATTAGTTTTTTCCGTCCCTTGTTTTCCTAGGAGGGTATCGTTGTTTAAAGTCAGTGTTGAGATGAAAATATGTGCTAATTTTAGGTTTCGACCAAAATATATCCAATCGCCATGAAATATGACTCAAGATTCGGAGATCCTTTCTGGAATAGCTCTTCACAATCTTGGTGCGAATACATGTTTCGGATGATGACTTCTTGGGCGATATTATGCAACGTGTACTACTTGGCTCCTATGGAGAAATTGGTGCTGTTGGTTTCTTATTACTGTTATTCTGTACAAACTTATAGTCCATTGGTTGCTTAATACATCACCGAAAGTACGAGCTATTTATGGCTGGCAGCCCGACACAATCTGGATTTCTGCGGGTCTGCATAAGCCATCGCTTGTACCACACATCACTTTACTTCGGTATTAAGTAGACATTTTATCCCTTATTGAGTGTAGATAATAATATGGTAATACAAATGCAACGATGTGATAATATAAATGTAATAAATGTGTTAGCTAGCACCTAGATTAAAACGTGAATGGATTCTCACTCATACGTATGAAATAGCGGCAGGCGTTGATTCCAATTCTCTTTTCTTACTGTCGTTTGTTTTGCTATACAGGAGATTTTACTATACTTTTTGAATTTTAGCAAAATCTTATCCAAGCTGGGAAAGTGAATTTAGCATCGGACCTGAAAAGCTGTTTTTTGCACGGAACTTTTTAAAAAAACTTGGTTATATTTACTTCTTCGGCGAGATGCTCTTACCGATGAAGAGAGCACCCACTAAAGACCTCATCTACGCTTGATGTTACCTTTTCGCTGCACTAAATAATAAATCAATTAGGAGACTTGTATGGGTGTAATTGGTATAGTTCTATAGTCATTGTAACCAATATAAATCTTAAGATGCCTAAACAGTATATTTCCACATACGGTCTCGTTTCCAACTCTTGTTTTCAAATTACTACCGATTATTTATTGATCGTGAATTCTGTTTATTGATTCATTTTTTCTGCAATTTCTATGGCCAGTGTCAACCCTCCCCCTCTAATTTTACCGTCTAAATCGCTCCAAACACTACTGCATAGTACCCGGATATACTGTCTTTGAAATTCCAGGAAACATATCTCAGCCTTAGTGAGCTTTGTTTGCTCTTAACTTGAGACTGTTAGGATGTACAGATGTTTATAAACAAAGCACTAGTTTATTTTAGCAAGTCGAAGCTCCGTTTTTCTTTGGAACCCATAAAACTTGATATTTGATAATGTACGTGGTATTTTCGTCTACCATACTTGCTTTTATGGGTTGGGAATCATGAAAAAAGAAGTCGTTTTCAAGTTCTTAAAGGTTTTATTTTCTGATTTTTTGTTAAAAAAAGATTGTCGGCGTTGATCAATCCCTGAGGGATGCGCTATAGATTCAACTTCATTAAGCGTCGTTTGGAGGTGATCGAATTCATATCTGGCCTTTACAATAACTCGCGAAGGCTTAGCGATGCATCGATCCGGTGCCGCTATCCTCGCAAGCAAGTCTAGTACCAATTTGCCGACCCAGGAGGGATGGAAGGCTTGGTGGACCATGGACACGGGATCGATTCCACGAATATATTGTAGGGAGCCTCCGACCACTGCGCCACACACGCCCTATTTTCTGATGGGTCTAAGATTAGGATTACACTCTAGAAAAGTTAAAAATATCCTTGGAACGCTAAAATGTGGTTTTCAACTCTTCAGGTACTTCAATTGTCGAAAACTTTAGTTCTTAAAGAACAATAAGCGCTTCTACTCTGTATTGAGCGCATAATAATCAATTTCCACAAGTAAATTATTGTAGTTATACATGAAATCACTGTGGTTGATCATGAATATTGTATGAAATAGGTGGGTATAAGAATGCTGACATATAGTTCGTATGTGCTGAGAAACTGACTACGAAGTGATGAGAGCATGGTTGTTGTATAGCGAAGGAGTTTTCATTTCATCACGCCCAAGATTCAGAAATCGCCAAAAGACCTGCGAAACTTCGTGGAAGGACGTAAAGAGCGCGTAGAAAACAAAGTAAGACACCGGATTTACCAACAATGCAGTTTAGCAGAATTATAAAACTTTAGAACAGAACGTGCAGTGAAGGAGGTGGGGTCATTTCTTGATATGCAGACGCACCGGAGTTGATGTTAACTCACAGTGAGCGTAGCGAGAAACTAAGCGTTTACTAAATGCGTTGGCTACAGGGGCTTACGTGTTAGGCTTTAAGTGTTAACAGGCTATTCGTTGTGCCAATGAGTGAAATGTTGATAAATGCAGTTTAACTGGTAGTGACTTATTTGTTAATATATCAAAATAGGAGTAGTACCTTGGTCTTCGTCGATGAGTTCACAAGTTGCGAGACAATTCGGTTTCGGCATTATATTTTCATATTTTCAATTGTCTTAGTGGTTGTAGAATTTCAAATTTTCAGCCAGATGAGGATGCAACGGCATTTGCTAGCCGCGTTAAGAAATCTATAGCTTTTCGAGGTGGATTACTTGACCTCGAGTGGGATGGTGGTCTTAAGAGAACTCGTGTACATCCAAAATTGGTTGCGAAGCAACAGGAAAGGTGATTGTTTTTATGCTGCTGTGTATATATTCTAGAATCCTTTATATTAAGTGAATTACAGGAAGGAGATTGCTAAGAACCACAACATTAAATTTCTCTGAGAGCTCTTTTTTTTTGGTTGTTATCATCAACTTTTAAAGTTCCACATAAGTGTTTACCAAAACCTTTGTTAAATTGTTTCCTAAACTTTGACAATGTGTAATAGGGGAAGGTAGATCCTTGTTGATCGGCTTTCCAAGGACTAACATTATGGCGCTTTAAAAATCGAACATTTCGTCCCCTTGTCAACAAATTATATTATGTCCTTTCGGTCCTTCTACATGATATGGACTAAGTTTCCTTCAATTTACGTGTTCCCAAAGTAACTATTGGTGTTGATCTGCTAGTTTTTTAATCTGTTGTTGTAATCATTTTGTCGAAATCGTATTGTTATTATCATCGGGAGAAGAGTGTGGCCACAGTGGTAAAGAGAAGTCAGATTTATATGGTCGTCTAGAAAGTTATGTCGCTTTATTGACCTTCGGCTTAAAATGTTGCTCGTAACAAGCTTCACTAATTGAAGCAGAAACGGTAAATGTTGAATTTTATCTAATCTTTCGCAGTAAAATTTATGGAGCCCACGTATTATTTCGTAATGACATTTTCAGAACTGGTTCATGTAAGTATTTCGCTTCATACAGTTGACGAAATAGTTTTGTAAGTGACGGTGGGCTTGATGTAGTCGTTATCCCAGATTAGAAGAAAATTGGTATCTTTAGATTAACAAAAGTCGGTCGCAGATATTGCATTCTTTTACTGCGTTATGTTGGTTTCCATATTCTTCGGTGTATTAATTATGCCAAAGTTAACGTTTACAGTTAGGCGTAAGTCGATTTCTACTCATTCATGGAATGGTGGAAATCTCTCAGCGTGAACTGATACCAACTCGTGGCGAGTGGCGCAAAAAATTAGATTTGAACTAAATGCGACATCTACGTAAAGTTAGGCGTCGGGTTGTAAGTGTTAATATCGGCGATGAAGTATATGCATACTTTTTGTAGTCGTTTGACAGTTGGTCCAACACAGATGTGACGTGTGTTGACCACGAAAATCTCTACCCACCTTTTTTGAAACCATTCCGTTCTCAGGCAGTTGTAATGGTAACTGCTTGTTATTTCAATTCCAGTCACTATTATTGAATTGTGGTTATCGTATAGAATGAATTGGTATAAAAACCCAAAAGAAGAAATGGGTTATTAAATACTTACAAATGCTGATGGTAATGTGGTTATACGGTGGGCTAAAGTAACATGTAATAAATAGTAGCATGCTAGGCATGATTCTACCTCATGTTAGAATAACTAACCTCTTCAGGTGTTTCACCTACACTTCCTCTTTTATTTAATTGAAAACAGTACTCGGGCTCAATTATATTTTGTTTAGAATAATACAATAATTATCAGTCGTATTTAACTTATTGCAACAATCCTTATTTTTTTGTTTTGAAAGGTCTATATTAGTGGTAGAAATAACATTTCCAGATATGCAAACCGATTATCTCGGTATACTTCAAGATCTAGCTCAAGCGAAGTAGAATCGGGAAGTGACGGTAATTGAAGCCTATTTGTTTCCTTTTTATCAATACTTCACGTACTTTAAAATACGACTAAGCTTTGTAGCATCTTTCGTTATCCTTCCTAAGTAGTTTGTTTTGAGGTTAACGATGAGCACTGACAATCTGCCTATTCTTGAATGATTAGAAGGCGTCTTTTTCACCTGCAAGTCGGTTGGTGGAGATCCAATTTAATAATACATACATATTTCACTACTTTTTGGATTATCAAATGGGTAGCAACCAGCGTCTTTCATTAATCTGCTCTTAATCAACAGGCGTCGATTCCAGGCTCAGAATACTGTGGACAACAACATGGTAGTTTTTTTCAGATCAATTTTCTCTGTTTTCACGTCACTAAATGTTTCTTTTTCTTCTGTTATTGCTCGACTATGCGGTATCATTATATACACCCACCCACCCATGAGTAACTCCATGTGGAGGCGCACATTCAATTAGAGTAATTTGGGCAGCACAATTACTTCAGGTGGTTTGCACTTACATTTGTAGAACATAACAATCTTTCTAATCTATGATAAATAAAAGTGTTGTTGCTAAGAAGTGGATATATGTTGTACACTAACAGTAAAATTTGCTAGTTTAGTACGTGAATCTAACATGAGTTCGAGTTTCTGCTTACCTAAGATTTTCAGTTCTAAAAGCTGTTAACAGTTTTAATCACCCCATTCGTGCAACATCACTATTCCTTTAGGAACCTTGTGTTTTCTTATCTTCGTTGACATAATAGTCGAGGTTTTTTAAAACAATCTGTTGTATTTGCAAAGTGGATAGCAGGAACTAGTAAGCATTTTTTTCATAGAAGGACACTGTAAATCGTGCAAAAACTGAAGACGTTTCACACATAGCGCAACATTGAAAGAACACTGTACGTGTCCATCTTTAGCGTGACCGATTTTGGAAGAAAATTTCGTCAGTTTCGAAACGTTTAAGCTATCAAAGACTGGAATGGTTAACGACATGAGCTACTGAAGGATTTATCACACACGTTGTTAGCAACGCCCTATGCAGCGTGTTCTTGGAGAGATATGTAGTGGACAAGGCTAAAAGTTCATCTTAAATTTAGCCGAGGCCGCCCAATGGGAGACGCTACGTTGTATACCTATTTTATGCCGAAGCTTTGAAAATACTCCAACACTGTTGCAAAAGCCTTCTTATTACTCCTCAAGTCATATAATTTATGACTCATTGCAGAACATTATATCCGTTACCATATTCACTACGCCATGTTTACGGAGAGAAAGAGATTTACACATTCACGTCACTTGGAACTTTTATCTACCAGAAAAAGACAATGAGAACTCACATTTGAATGTTTGAAGGAAAAAATTGTCGTAATACTCATACTATCTGTCCAGTTACTTGCTCAGAAATGATTAGTTGTGTACAGCTGATGTTCGTTTTCCTACGTCGCATCACATTGTTTAGTTTTTTTTTTTTTTAAAGTGTCGTTTAGTTAGTATTACCAAGGTCTTATGCATTTGATGTACATACTAGTAACTGTGTACTTATCCTTATCATTTCTACGTTTTCTTCTGGTAACGTCTCATATTTTGACAGCTGGTTGTGTTTTATTATCTTATGCACACTTCATAGTTAGCATTAACGCAATTAGAATTTGAATTTGTACAGATACTCAAGCTTCTTTTTTACGCTTTAATAATTTATGGATATCTGATATCTTTTCTGAGATCTCGGTTTCTTCATCATCGTCTCACTGATTTCCAAACATGTAATTTTTCTACTGTAATTGTAAAGTTTCTTAGCATTCCTTCGCAGGATTCCAGATAAAACTATCTGGTTTGTGCGTATATCTGTTGCTTTCGATAGTCGACGAAGAAAGTGCCATCTCACGGAGCTGGGTCGAATAGTTCATGATCTAATTTACTCACTCTTCCTTTAGTTTTTGCTGAAAATTATCATAATTCGTCAACTGGAGACATTGTACTATTGAGAACCTAACGAAACTCTCAGAATCTCATTTCAAACGTTTCAAGATGGTCGATACCCCTTCTACGGGCAGCCATCTCATTTTTTGGTGTGTCCTTGGTGTATTATGCAATCGAAGTCGCTCTCTTTATCGTACTATTAGTTTCGATTCTCTGTGTTCTCGAATTCCTACTCCACATCTGTGTTCTTTTGAGACTCCAACGTCTCTCTTCATCAATTAACACGAAGCAACATGACGGTTCAACCAGCTCTAACATTACACCAATGTTGTGTGGGTGTTGAGTGCTTATCTGTGGCAGTGCGTTGCATCCTCTCATCAGGTTTAGCACATTAGGAAGTTCATGCTATGATTCCAATAGACTTTCTTGGAGACTAAAAAATTGATTAATAACACGTGTGATAGCGTCGACAGACGTAGTTCGTTGTGTCGTCGTTTTTTTCCAATTTTTTCAACACTTCGCTTTCAGAACATTATGAAGTACTCTCAAGTATTCTCACGGTCAAGAGCCTGTGGAGTAGTTATTGGCCAATTTGTACAACAATTAGGCCAGGTTTTATTGTAGGTTTCTCACTGTTATAAGTATGAGCGACGTGCACAGTCTCACGATGATGATAAGGAAGGTATACAAGTTAATGCACCATTCCTCTATAACTTTCTTTTTGCTTTCAACATTGACATTGTCATACTTCCAAACAATATCCAAGGTCTACGGATTACGCAAAAAAAAATTCCATAAGAACGCTTGGTGTAAAGCGAACCAGATTATGGCAAATGGATCACCAAGTAGGGAGGCCACATCCTGGCTATAATAAGGAAGCCTGCGATTATAAATAATATAACATGTTGCTGGCGAACTTAATGATCCCAAACTAAGTCCTCACTTATTTGCCCCAATAGTTCTTCCTGTTATGTGTTATTCACTAGAAACCTGGATTGATACCTAGATCACATTGAAAATTTGTGTGTAATGCCAAAATCAATCGGACGATATCTTAGGAATATGGACCGGCACACTCAGTACCATGCCGGTTTTTATACTTCAGATGTTTGATAATTATCCTCCCATTGAAAGGTGTTGGGGCATTCAGTAAATGTTGACTGATCCTTCTTATAAGGAGAAAATTACATGTGGCCAAGAGAAGTACTAGAGTGGATTCCGGGTTAATTGAAACGAACTGGAGGAAGACGTCTCAAAAATGGTCGGAAGTGTTCGTTACACACGTAAAGCCATCTGTATTCACTGCTACAATCGACATTCCAGCCAAATCCACATGCGAAGGTAATAATCTGCGTGAGTGTTGCACACAAGATAAAGTAATGAATGGAGGAAATATGCAAATGATTATAAAAGAAAGGAAAAACGCGATATATGAAGATAGTCCATCTAGGTAGGTGCTTTTCATAGTCATGCGTTTCCAGTGCTATTTACAGTTAATAATCATTTGTTGCACAACACTGTGTTGATGTTTTTTTCTCAAGAATTGCCCAAAGAATACAGTGTAGAATATTTCCAATCGATAATTCGTCAGGTCTAAAACATTTGTGTTCTTTGATTTGGAGCACTTGCATAGAAATTATTGCAATGTTTTGTTTGTATCGCCGTATTCGATGCTTTATCGATTTTGCTTCATCGACCTAGCTGTTCTCTTCCTTTTTTTAGTGCTTCTTACCCTCCAACGTTCCAGTTTTGATTCATTTTTTGCCTATATATATATATATATCGGTGCAAAAAAACGTGTTCATACGTTCTGTGTAATGCCTCTGTGAACAATGGAAGCAGTTCGATGTAACGCTTATTTCCGAACCTATAACTGCTCGAAGGCGACAGGGTTCTGACAGAATTAAGCAAATAATGAATAATCAAGTGTTGATGAGACTCGGAAACAACTCCATTCGTGACCACACTAAACCGTGATGTGGATTCTTCATGGCTGTTATTGATTGTAATACATACTTTCTATGGTTGATCATCAGTCCTAGTTTTTCTATGTCTCTCAGTTTCTGTTTCACTTCAGTTGCTGTCGTCGTAGACCTCACTTGATTATTTCATTTAGGAATACCACGTTACAGTGTCGTAAACCTCATCTAATCATTTCAGTTAGGAGTACCGCCTGTCGTTGAGTGTTTCTCGACAAGTGTATATTACGGTATAAGAACTGCTGATGAACTTCCACAATTTGCCAAGTCTAATTTCTGTTCGATTTCTTCTCTTAGTATTACATTATACATATGCCACTTTCTCCTACCGCACTTTACTTAATGGAGACAATTTCAAAGGCTTCATACTGGTAGGTATCTCACATATTCAAAATTCCAGATGTTTCATATGCATTTTTTACTGAAAAATAAAAACGTATTCGTTAGAAAGTAATGACACAGGAGCGATTACCCGTATATGTAGTCATTCTGTAATTTTTAAACAGATGTTGTAGAACAGAACGAATAATTGTTGTAAGATAAATAGAAAGCTCTCGGCGTGGATCAATCTCTAAGAGATGCGCTATTCACTTCATTAAGTGTCGCTGGAGGTGACTGAATGCATATCTGGCCTTTACAACGATTCACGGTAGTCTATCGATGTATCTAAGCAGTGCTGCTATCCTCCCAGACAAGTGTGGTACCAATTTGCTGATCCCGAAGGAATGGAAAGCTTGGTGGGCCATGGGCGCGGGGATCGATCTTAGGTGTGTGTTGCAGGGCGCATCCAACCACTGTGTCACACGCGTCTGTTGTTGTAGAGTTCGGTTTAATTTTCAAGAACTTGTTTGGTTTCCTGTGACCTCGCCGTCTACGTCGGGCAAGTCATTTTCACAGCACGCTCGGCTCGAATTAGATTTTATCGATATCAGCATGTGCTGAGAAGTTTTATCCGAGGCAGTTGTCTCGATGACGAATTAATCTGTTTAGTATGGGAACCAATAACGGGCATTTAGTTTTAAGATGCTGAGCTGATACATTACGAAAGTTGACAAATATCGTTGGAAACTGAAGCGTGACGGTTCTGATTGCTTTTAGAAGTGATGTTGCGTGTAATTCCACAAAGCTTTCTCCCCTCATATGGTTCTTAACGTTACAGTATTCAGTACAATGTCATGGGCGAATGAAAACATCCTCGCTATGGTTTAGGATGATGTAAATGCAATATTGAACCTAAGTCCGTATGCCATTGGCACAGTAGTGCAAGTTCTTCGTCTTCTAACTGAAACGCACACCTTCAAACAAACAAGGCTGCATTTTTTCTTCGTCTCTATTTCCTAGCCATGTAATATTTAAGTGCAAATACTCGTAGCACTTCACCTAGAAAAAACACGTTGTTACTCATAATCCAATGGTTTTATTTATAACGCATTTCATGGAACGAATCTAGGTGTCGCCATTAGGAGACGATCAATACTTGGTGTCCTTCTCCGTGAAACAATCCGAAGGCGATGTAAAATGGTCTATTCACATGTCTTCTACACCATACGAGATGGCCACCATGAAGGAGAATTGTAAACAAGTGAAGAAAAGTCCACATATTCTTCGGAACCTTCCGTTAACTGAAAGGACAGTAAGCGGTTCAGAAATTATCGGAAATACCGTTGTCCTCAGCAATGAAAACAGTGTTCGTACTTACTTACTATTTTTACTTCAATACGAGTGAACATGCTATAGAAAAGTTTAGATCCTCGCATGCGCAACCGTGATTTTGCCTGGATTACCACTTCTGCGAGCATCCTTCCACGTTGCTCCTTTCGAAGGCCATATTCATATTATTCCATTTCAAAACAAGGTGCGACCTATATATATACACTATATTAAGTATTTCATTCCTGAGAAATTATTGTGATCTAGGCTATATGTAAACTTTAGTTTCAAAGAGTGATAAGAGAAGGGTTCTAAAGTCAACATAATAACTTGTGCACTGTTAGAAAATCGCATGAAAACTATGTTGACCCAAAATCGTTTGCTAGAACAGTCAGGATCTCTTTGCAAATGACTCAGTGTACAGAACATTTTCTCATGCGGACTTGTTAATGTCAATGGTAATGTATTTCGAATCCTTTGTCCATCCATCGAAAGCCTTTGTCTTGCAGACAGACCGGTTTTTGTCGTCAAATCGTTAAAAGGTTATCATGCTTTCACACAGGCACGAATTCTTCCTGATTTGAAATACGATTCGGACTCGCACAATGAAGACCTCGAAACAGGAATCCTTAGCTGGAAATTTGTAGCTGATTGTGAAGGGAAAATAACCAGAAATGAAAGCATAAACGAAAATGAATTAGGAGTCGATTCACGAGCAAGTTTTACGATCGGTGGGTAATTCTTCATCTTTTACTTCTTCCGTCGTTTAACTACTTTTTTTGGAGTGTAGGAAATAGCCGATATTCTCGTACATTTTTAAGAAATCCCGCGAAACTTCACGTTTCAAATGCTCAGACTGTTACTCAATGGTGAAATGCTTGCTTGTGCACCCATTTTGAATGTGGAGGAACGTCAAGTGAAGAGAGGCCTACATTTGCTATCTCAGGTTAGGGTTTTGACTGATGTCTTCAGAGTCCTTTTCCTCCTTTCTTCATGTGGTCATTATCTTACGTAATGTTATAAAACAATATTGGAATCGTTTTTACAATTCTTGATTTTCATCTAAAGTGTATTTTCGTAATCGAATGAAAGCCTAAGTATACCGGATGAGCTGTAACACCCACTACGTCATAGTGCGAAATTTTGCTGAAGAAATGTTTCGTAGTGAAATATTTACCTTTTTGGTAGTTGGTGGCTTCGTTAGCGCTGTAAATTACCAAACAGACAGAATTTCAAGAATATATGAAAATGAGGAATAATAGTACCAAAGGGCTGTAGTAATAATAAATGCTTTCAATTGTAATTTCTTCATCTCTTTTTGTCTATTTTGTTTCGTGGTGTTATATGAAAGCAGACTATATTTCTATGATTTTTCTGCATGCATCCATATGGTATACCACTTGCGTTCCTCTTCCTCAGAAAAAACTTCCTGATAGCAAAGCTAAGGTAGAGACAACGCACAGATTTCCCTCCTATATCATATTCTCTCACTGCCATAACGGTGATCTACAGAAACTGGTAATTTCACAATCACAATCACAGAACTTGGATTTAGAAGCTAAGAAAAGCTCTAAGCACACCTGCTGCATGTTGTCGAATACTAGATTAGCTCACTTGCTAAATGGTTTCGTTCGGCCGCACACATCTTCTAGAGCCTCAGTTATCTCCTATATCGAAGTTTGAGGGGCGCGTGTGGCGCAGTGGTGAGAGGCGCCGCGCAATACCAAGTGGAATCGATCTCCGCGGCCATGGACCACCAAGCTTTCCATCCCTTCGGGGTTGGTATCACGCTTGTCTGGAAGGACAGCAGTACTGGCTCGATACATCGGCAGGCCACCACGAGTCATTGTAAAGGGCAGATATGCATTCAATCACTTCCAAACGACGCTTAATGAAGTCGAATGCATGGCGCATCCCTCGGGGATTGATCAACGCCGAGAGCTTTGTCCTTTTATCTTTTTATCGAAGTTTGACTTCGTGTTAAGAATTTTGACAGTTAGTCAACATTCCCCTGAATGCGCCCATTGGTATAAAATCGGTAAACAATGCGAATATATGGTATAGTAGTGGTCGAAGTCTCCATACTTTGCATATGAGGGCCATATACATTGGCAGGTCAGTTCTACGAGATTGGCGCTGGCAAGAATTCTACCATGTAACAACTAGGATGGCAGTTTTGGTGTCTTTGCAACAATTTGAATGCTTGAACACCTGGTTAAGAGTCCAGCGCGATTTCCATTTGACGTCTAATTTGCTGTGTTATCAAGATTTCCCATCTTTAGTTTCGAAAGGTGCTAGGGCGTTCTGAAATTGTTGCTACTTGCCTACTGGTAACCATATTGCTGACAGAATGGGAGTGATTCCCGGCACTAGTTTATAGCAAGTTTGGCCTCTAGATGGGAATGTCAAATTTTTCTCATTTTGTGGGACTCTGTTCTATAGTGAAACCGCCGTTCTACATCACTGGAGGTTCTCCAATAATTTCACATTCATGGAAATAGTGAACTTTGAGATAAGACTTCTCGGTAATCGTATTACTTTGGCAGGTCTTATGTAAAACTTTGTTTTTAAGTTTAGTGTCTTTTTGAGATAGTGCGGTTTGTAATATTTTACTGGGTAAAGCTGACTGTTGAAAATGGTACTGAAGACCACCACGGAGTCATACATCGATATCTTTCCGTTGATTATCAAATGATTCAAGGGGTCTCCAGTGAACCTTCACTTATCCTTTTCGTGTTTCAGAACTGCTCAGTGATATATACTTCCTCGAGGAAATCGAAAATCGTTGTTTTTCAGGAAGTGCCTTCCTGTAGAACTGTGACTGGAGGTTTTACTGTTGTGCTCTTGACACTATTAGAAGGCTGTCGCTGAACGCCTTTCCTATCTGTTCTTAAAATAAATCACGTATTCTATGACATTTGACATCTTAGCGTGTGATACAGCGTTCTAGGTCTTTGATCGTCTTCAAATTTAGGGGCACATCTCTCATTGAAATTGAACGGGATCGTCTCAGCGTCACTCTATTTTCGAGATAAACGTGAAGATGAGAATATTAGTAGAGTCGAAGAGTGGGATCGAGTTTTCTTTTTCCTCTTGCCACATTCTCGAGACTTGCCATCTCCTCAGACTTGTTTCCTACACCGTTATGGCATACGCCTTGTAGCCTCGGGACATAGTGGCTGATGAGCCGTCAATGAGAAGAATCTGTGCTAAACAACATGTGAGCAAATATTAACTTTCTTCCATAACATTTCTGCCTGGCGTTTCGAATCCTGCAATGTTTAGCGAAAATGGTGAATTGTTGATCGATGTGTGCCGCAACAAAATTTAGACAACTCGTGTTCACAGAACAACTCTTAATGCAGTTTAGCGTCCAACTTGAACTTTATATTGGAGAATAAAATCTTCTCCGAGGCATACTTTTGACAGTAACATCTCCAGAGTGCGCCGAATGCCCACCACATGCGTTGTCTCGTTAAGACTCGCTACTGACCAATTCACACCGGCGATTGGCTGCACCTCCGTGATGTTCTGAAAAATTAAGTAACTTACTGACGCTATTAATTTCCTATATGGCACACTGCTTTCTTACCTTAGTGGGACTGAACTGTACCGGGAGCCTTATCTTATTCATCATGTTTTGTGAACTGCTTTCATGTAATAGTGTTATGATGACGAAGACATGAATTTTATGAGTTTTAGGCCCATTATTTTGAACCCGTGCGCTCGGCGTCTGACTTCACCATAGGAAATCTTCACATAAGGTAGATCTACTACAAGTGAGCATGATTTTTTAACATTGAGTATTGTATTTCAATGAAGGTTGCTCATTTATCTTCAGAGATGATTGCCTCGACATAGCCACTGAAACTGTTCATAGTAATTTTGAAAATTTCTACCCAACGATGAATATTTTTGGGATGGATAGTGTAGTACTGAAGGTGAGCGGAATAAATACGCTTCCTTGATTTTCAAGAAGTGATCTTAACTGATGGAAAACTTCAGTCGCTTGTCGCCAATAACTCATGTGGACCGCTGCGGCCGCAGTTTCCACGCCCTGCTGCCACTGCTTATTTTATGTACCCAGTTGTTGGAAGGTAAGCACTGGTTTTGGTCAGTTATACATCATTTTAATTTTTTCCTGTGTTTATAATTTATGGTGCTATAATACTTACCAGTAAATTAGAACAGTACTGTTACCTATGTCACCTCCATGACCTGTAGTTTCGTTGATAGTCGAGTGATTCGAACGGACGCCAATAAATACTCCACATCCCTGTTGCGTGCAAGAGTAGCCCAGTGGGTTCCGTTTACTATAGAGACCCAGTGAACACTTCTTCTTCCTTCTAGGTTTTTAGCGAAGCCATCGTATCGGGAGTCTTCCTGCTCTGCATTTGACATCCTGAGGAATATAGTTGCCAACGATTTTTCTCCATTGGTTGTTGTTCAGACGCATCGCACATCTTGCTCACCTGTTTTTCAACAGCTGGATATGTAGAATGGCGTCCTTGATTTTTTTGTGCTTAACATAGGTCGGAATTTCTTGTTCCTTCTTTCGTATGCGTTATTCGAGATACTCCAAACATCGTCCTGTTGACGCTCCTTCAGTAACGCGAAGTAGTCTTTCATCCTGCTTACGTGGCGACCAGATTTCCGAAGCATGCGTGACGGTAGGAAGAGTAGTGAAGTCTGAAATGTGGGCATGGAATCACATGTTCTTATTGTTACTCATTGAACCCTCGTTGCTCTTTGAAACTCTACATGCTGCTCGGTTCTTTCTGACCGTCTCTAGAATAATATCGTTCGTCGTAATGACTTCGTTTCAAAGAAACAGGAATCTTTAACATCCTATTGAGCGAAATGATTATCGATGTGAATCAATGTGACTAATAATTCTGCCTACTTCGGGTAGATTTTCTTCCATCCATACAAGAATTTTTGTACTAGTAGAATCTGCTGTTTAAATAGAGTCGAAAATTTCAATGTCTCATTTTCATATTCAGGTGTCTTGGGTTATCATAAACACTCATACTCTGGTTTCTATGATTTATGAAATGTGCTATGTTTATCTCAAAAACTGAATATAACGTATGCTATATCCAGTGCCGTTAATTATGAAATGAACCGAGTGTGCACTCGTAAAATGTTCAGTTGTCCGTGTCAAACTTCGGCGCTAAACACGGACGTCGGCTCTTCTTTAGGAACAAAAACAATGTCATACTTTCGTTACGAAGATTTTATTTCAACTGTTTTTGGCATTTTTCTGCAGAGCTAAGCGTGTTCATTTCGGTTTACTTTATGTTGTACATAGATCACTCTTTTTTGCGTTCTTGTAATGAAACATGAAGGCAAGGTATCAAACGTGTGAAATCGAACTCTCAATGATGATGGACGTTTCACTAAAATGTCCAAACATCAGACGACAAAAACATGTTATAGAAGATCGGAAATACAAATAGCAGTAAAATAATGGTTTTCTTACTTAATAATCTTACTTAATTGGATACTTGGATGGCTCGTCTTAATTGGTAGTGCGGACTTTATCTCTATTTTTTTCGGAGTTTTGCTGGTTTAGCCATTTATTGTGGTTCCCTTGAGTCTCCTAGGTCATCACCACCACAGGCAGCCGCAGACTTTGTGGATTAGAGGGAGATTTGTTATCATCCGACTAGTTTCGTACTAGGACGGTGACGGATCAAGATATTGGTTTACTCTTAGATGGGTTTCCTGATAGAAACGCAGGACTCCTACCCAGTTTGGAAGACCCTGCCAGGGCATGAATCCTCTCGCTGTATATAGTAGCCCGACAACCTGGAACGCTTCCCAACCACAATGAGGAAGTAAACCATTGGGAGGGGTTATGAATCATGAGAAAGAAATAGTGTTTCCGGTACGTCCACCATCGTTCATGTTTGTATTTACCACTCTTGCACCTAAAATTTTAAAATTTTTAATTTTTACTTTAAATTTCCTGGAAACCCTCGCTCTAAACATGGTTAAATTTGAACACACCTTATGCAAACCCATATTTACGATTACTACGTTAGAGCAAAATCTATTCTATGAATTTGTGAAGCTGCTGAAATGTTCTATTGATCGAGAAAATGTCTTCAGTTCTCGAAATAAATTGCTTCTTCTCGAAAAGGTTATCTAATTTTTAAATATCAAGACAGGATATCATCATCCGAGATGTTGACGTTTTGCACTTGTGAGCTTTTTATTTCCTGCCTATTACAATTTTCACGGCAGGGTATAACGAGAAATACAACCACAATGATGCTGAGATATTTGCAAAACTCCGGACCGCAGGTGTCTGCGGTGGGGAGCAAATGCGTTGTTACCCCCTTTCCGCGGGTTAACGCGTTCAGCACCCAACCATGCAGGTACTTCGTTCCGTTTGTTTCTCACCTAGTCCTATCGATCACTGCCATCAGCAATCACCCGTGAACGGAATTGACCTGGGCCGGTAGAACCAGCTGAGAGGCAGGCGAAGCGAATGCCTCGAATGGTGTGGTGAACGCCTTAAGTCGCCCAAAGGGGAATAATGCGTTAGTTCCCCACCTCAGACACCTGCAGTCCCAAGTTTTGCAAATATCTCAGCATCAGTGTGGTTGTATTTTACCTTTGGCTTGAAAAAAAACTCAGTCGTTTTCTTTCTCAGCGATCGCGAGCCACTCATCAGCGTTGCATCCTCAGTGGAAGGCACGTAAAAAGCATCTCTGAAGAAGGCGATTCTGCCGAAATGTCAGCTACGATTATGTTATATGTGTGTTATTGTATAGAAGTAAACGTACGCTGTTTAACAACCTCGCGTTTGCTGAGAAAGAAAACGGCGCATTTATAATCCAATGCCCAGGTTATAGAAAGTCGATCTTGGAAAAAGCTCACTTATGGAAACAATATTTGGTGGATAAAGGATGGTGACGAGTCACCCAAGTATCCAAATATTCTTTTATCCGCGCGCTATCGGCTGTTAATACTAGAAAACTCGTGCATTCGAGTACATCCTGGGATGAGGGGAGTATTTAATTTCAGTAGATTGTAAACGAATTACATGTCAAGAGATAAGTAAGACTTTTGCACCATCTTTTTTTTCGGAACACGTCTTTCACATCTACTGTGCAGAACCCAGCACTTCCTGCATTTGATTCGTTTCCTCGCATCCGTCATCCACGAAGGTCTTCCAACCATTTACACGTGATTTCGGTTGCTACTTGAAGATTTTCCTTTCCTCATCGCTGTCGTTGAATGCTGGTCGAATTGTTTCTCCGTGGAGTCCTGGGATAGCCGGGTTAGAGCGTTCACAGTTGGGTTGCAGAGAGTGGCTTTTCTCAGTCAAGTTCGGTACCAATTTCCAAACCACGGAGGGATGAGAGACTTGGTGAGTGTAAAGTGGGATCACTTCAGCACAGGGCTCGTGATGATCGATTTCCACTGTACTATGCGCCCCTTTTTACGTCATCTTAGCGGTGCGATTCGGTTGTGGATTGTAGCTAGAGTTGTGGAAATATTTCACCATCTCAACAATCTCTTATGAGCGTGTGGCGAGTACCAAACTATAGCTATAAGTTCGTCACTCCTACTCAGTTATTTTATTCTTGAGCGTTTCAGATTAGTCTTGGTAGATATGGATGATCAGATTCTGCTAACAGGGGAACTACGTCAATTGCGTGATTCATCGGCTATGCGCGCTACTGTGCAGGTACTTTATAGCTCTACCAACCTTTGTTATTTTGTGTTGATTAGTTTGATGATCGTGAAATAGAAACAAATGAACAGGACGGAGATGTCACACTTGTAAATATGTGGAAAAGAAACCCAAGGTACTACGGATAATCGTGGCACATTTAGGCATCCAGTGACTGGGCGCACGTGGAAAAGTGTCCTCAGTGCCTCACGGCTGAATCCTGTCACACTGTGGAAGGTGCTGCGTTGATCGTGGGAAGGGATGAGCCCATAGGTATACCTACTTTGCATGAAGTCTTGTTTATAGCCTCTTCGTCTACACACAGCAGTGTCAAATGGGAATGATAATGAACACTTGAAATGGATTCTTTTTTCTGTATTCTAAATTGGTAAAAAATATACGAAGGCAAGACACATCCATAGAACTGGTTAAAGATTCCGTCTAAAATATCGTTTCGGTTTTAATTGCTTAAATGTTAACAAAATCAGCAGGAGTTGTCCTCAAGTCTAATACACCACATCGGACTAAATGCAGAAGGTGAGTGTTGAAGATCGACCGTTAACTCCAATTTACCTTCCTTCAAAAGGAACACTTTTACACATTTGCGACGATATATATTGGTATGAATACATATTCTCCACCCCCTCTATCCCTCCTCCCCTATTCTGCAGTTCCAACTTTAAGCAGCGGCATTTCGTAGTTTTTAGTAATTAAAGTAAAAGCCGTTAGAAGTTACAAGTCTCTCTAGATAAGATGCAGGTTTCCTTATTTAATTAAAACGAAATCCGCTCCAAAAATGTACCGTTAGTGTTTGCGGTTGTGGCAGTTGTCTAGGAATTTTCAAAAACTTAAATGTCGTTCCCAATTTTTTTTTCAAGATTCGATTTCTGGAAATTTTTCAAGGCAAAATGACATCGTAGGCAAAACAATTTGAACCACTATAGTGACAGGTTAAATTATACGTCCTATTATCCTGTTAAGTTCTCAATTCCTTAAGTACTTTGATCACATCGAAAACTCCCACTACTTTTCGAAAAGTCGCCATCGTCGCAATTGTGTTGGAAAGGTCTAATAATCTTCTAAACAACCTTTTCTTAACGAGTATCTCGATTTCATAAGTGTTTTCTTGCATTTATCGTGTGCATTCAGTGACTTTGAATAGCGTTTTCCCGTGGTTTCAACTTAGCACGAAGCGTTCGATAATAGTTGATCTTCAGTGGACAAAGGTGAAGTCCTAAAGTTCGAAAGGTTCCTCGGCCCATCGAGCAACTTCTTGTTTTAGGTCTGCGCAAATCTAACTCAGCTTACGTCTGGAGCGTTGTCGGCGCATGCACTTATCAAACGTATTTCGCTCTATTCAGCACCTGTCGTTGCATCGATAGTTGTGCTTGAATATCCGGCGAACAACTATACCGAAGTATGTCATGACACGTGATTTTTGAGCTTTCACATTTGATTTTTCCACATCATGTTTAGGCTTTGGTTAACAAACACCAGATATTCTCCGGAGCTACAGCTCATTCAAGACCGCTCGATCTGTCCATAACCAATAGCGAGCCATGCAGCGAAGCAAACCTTGGACCTAATGAAGAAGTGAGGAAACACTACTCAGTTGAACAGCAACCGTAACAGTGTCTCTTCTGAAAATACCCTGGCAATTTGTACCTATCACAGAACTCCCACATAAATAAACTACACTATTTGATTTTCACTTTTCATTGTACAATATCAGCGTTAGTGTTGTCGAAACTTATAGAAATAATTCACATATGATTCAATTATGTTAGATTTAACAGGTTTGTTGTGTTTTTAAAATGGTATCATTCGTTCTAGAAGTGGTGGATCGATCGGTTGAGGACCATATTGGCAAGTGAAGAGAACGATACGACGTTCGTAGCTATAGAAATACAATTTATTGATAGATGCTGCTTTGTACATTAATGACAAATCCGACCTTGGCAACTAACTTTCGCTTCAGTGACTCGTTACTTTTCTCTGCATTTCCTACGCTTTGCTTTGAGTGCAGTGAAGTACAATGTCTAATGTAAGTGTGCTGACTGTTGGAGTGCCGTGATCATTCATTCCGATTCGTGTTGTTCCATCTACTTATGGCACTCCATATGTTCATATTGCTTTCTGCCTTGCTTTTGTACGGATAGTACTGTACTGATGTCGGTGATGGATATTTGTCGGCAGACAGTGAGTACATCAAAAATTTCCCATCCATTGTCAGCCTAACTAAAGAACACTGGAACTGTAAAAGGCCCTCAAACAATACCATTGATTTACAGGGTTATTATTGGATCGAAACAACTAGTCACCGGTGTGGACAGTGTGTTGGGTACCTCTATACTACTGCTGAATCAAAATGAAGTTTCATGCGGGCATTTTGAACCACTTACCGAAAAAACCATTGTTGTGGCCAAGTTTGATAAATTATTACGAGGATATATAAAGATGGTAGGTTTTACATGTTAGTTTTCTAGCTAAAATTTAGTCGGAGTAAACTCATCAGACTTTTTTGCTCATTCCCACTGTGAAGTAGGATAACCTGCTGTTGCTATGGGAAGTAGATAGATTTTCAAGCAAAAATCCCGCTAATGTTCCATCTGAGAGCGGTTGATTTGTGATTATATTGATTTTCAGCTTCGTGAGTAGATTTGGCGCTGTTAGTAATACGTGGTTCTATTTCGCAAAATTGTATACGAAAATAATGTTGTAGACATGAAGGGAAAACTTTAGTATACTGGTTAAAATTTAATTTGCTCTTTATACCTTTATATTCTTTTTTGCAAAATATCCCGCCTTACCTATAAAATACCGTTTTCTCTTTGCACAAAAAATGACTACATACATTTGCGAGTTGATTTAGACATTTAGAGGAAGTGTAACGAATGAAGTAACTTTCAGACACAGTTTGGAACTTCTAATTGGGCTGCTGGAATGCCCACGGAAATCTATTACTTTTTGGATCAAGCAGACGGGAACGCCAGCTACAATGCCGACTTGGTTATTTCACATATCGTATTTTCTCCTTCCATTTTATTTTCTTCCATTTGACCCGTCTTCATACCTGCTATGAGAAGCTATGCTATGAGAGCCCTTCTCATATTCGATTCATTTCTTCGCAACCATTGACGAAGATCCTCCAACTTTACGTGTGGCTTCGGTTGCTGCTTGAGGGTTTTTCATTTCATCTTGAATGTCGTAGAATGCTGGTCGAGCAGTTCTTCCCAAAATCCTGAGATAACTGGATTGGAGCGTTCCCAACTGGATTGCAAAGAGTGACCCAGACAAGTCCGGTAGCAATTTCCCGACCCCGGAGTGATGAGAGGCCTGGTTGGCCCGGTGTGAAATCGAACTAGCACCATTCTCGTGGTGATGGACATAACTATCACTGTGCTATCTGCCTTTGCATATTGTATACAAAATAATAAATCCAATTTTCACGTTGCTATACCACTTCTAGAGCGAGCGTGGCGCAATGGTTGCAGGCGCCACTGCGACGCACACGTGGAATCGATCCCCGCGCCCATAGCCCACCAAGCCTTCCATCCCTCCGGGGTCGGCAAATTGGTACCAGACTTGTCTGGGAGGATAGCAACACGGGCTGGATACATCGGTAGGCCACCACGAGTCAATGTAAAGGCCAGATGTGCATTCAATCACGTCCATCGATACCTAATGAAGTCGAGTGCATGACGCATCCTTCAGGGATTGATCAACGCCGTCCTATTTTTTATACCACTTCTATTGCTTCTCCAAAAAATTGCTTCTTATTTCAGGTCGAAATTGAATGGGAGTTTATCGAAGGAAAAGAAGTCTGTTCGAATGCATCAGTGTTTATTCCGTCCAAATTGAACGTCTGTGCTAATTAACGAATTGCACATCACTTTGTTAGATATAGCTACAAGTGAAGAAAGATGAAAATTTTCAGACAAGCTCCTGTTCTCCGGAGACGCCTCACTTGTGCATTCTGGGAGATGTTTATCGGAAATCTGGGCTCCTTATATTGAATTCGAAGCAACATCTTGTGGTTAGAGATCTTCCTCTTTCTGGACCATATTCACGTATGTTCTTCTTAGTCACTTCGCATTCGGTATGACACGATCAGGATTAGATGGTGAAAGAGTGTTGTAGTAGTGTTGTTTGTGTTATGATTACGAAATTTTATTTACATGGGCTCGTATTCACTAGCCTTGCCAAACCCCACGCGTCTTCCGTTCTTTCAGAATAATTCTTCATAATGTTGTCTATGCCTCCCGGCGGTTTACCGCCTCATGGTGGCTGGAAGGTGTTCCTGGGTGCCGCATTGCGTTGCCCAGTGGAGGGATTCGTTTCCCACCCCTCGGCAGGTTCTCCTAAACTGAGAAGGAATCAGGCGTTTCCATCAGGAAGCCTAGCTAAGAGTAAACCAATAGCAGGATCCGCCACCGTCTTGGTATCAAAATCGCATAGTGGTAAATCTCCCTCTGTTCCACGAGGGCTGCTAGTGCCTGTCCTGGCGACGACTTGGGGCAGACTTTGGTCAGGCTGTCCTCCGGATTCCGGGGAACTTCAATGGCTTAGCCAGAAAATTTCCGAGAAATGGTGATTGCGCTGGGGCCCGCACAACTAGTGATGGCGGGTCGTTCAAGTATCAAGTAAGTAAGATGTCTATGAGTGTTATTTCGTGCCCCATAAATCATTTCCAGCTTGTAACACAACTATATTCTACATACTCTTCTGTGCCACTTGTTTGAGTCTTCGAAAATAGTCCTTGAACATCCGCCTGTTGTCAACTCACCGCATCAGATGACTGTCCCTTCGAATTCGCTTTTCACGGATATTTCCATGGTCTCCATCTCAAACAATGTCTTTCAGAGGTCTGAAATATGCAGTCTGCCTTCATGTTATTTATAATGGCTTTATTTCAAAGACATCACGTTACTGCTCTAGACGGTGCGTCAAATCCTCGACGTTTTCGAATCCACGCAGCAGAGCACTGTGAGCACCGTATAGTCAAAAGAGTGGGCACGCGGTTTTTCATCGTCATTCGATCGTCAGCCTCTTTACGAATGCGACGCGTCCTGTTTCTCACGTACCGTGCAGTTCCTCTTTAATGACGTTTTCCGTTTCCATGGAGTACTCATCCACTCATAATGTGGCTTCTGTAATCAAAACATCGTCCAATTTAATGTTTTCCGTCACATCCAGGGTGTCCACAAATTGAATTTCCTTCTAATGTATTCACAGTCCTCTCATTCTTCATTAAGGGTTTGAGTCTAGTCTCTACTCAAATGATACCCTTCGAGAAAAGAAGAAAAAAAAATAACTTCGTCATCTAGTGCTATGAAACGTTGAGCCGCGTTATGGATCACTTTTGCTATTAGGACACTAAAGGATCATCGTAGGGCCAAATTTTCGCTATATACTTTATATCAACCAGCTAATTCATATTTAGGGTTAGCCTAAAATTCCTGTATAGGATGTCTTCACCAGTTGACAATCATTTACACACTTGTTTAAACTCGTTTCATTCGACTGTCACTCATTTCACTGTCGAACATATAGAGCGTCGGTCTTTCGAATTATTACTGTCGAACAGTTTTTCATAGTCCACAGAAGTTGCGACAAAGTTCAGGTGGTATTTCCGATGAAATTTTGTGACAGTGGAGATTCAACCACAACGTTGCTGAGATATTTGCAAAACTCTGGACCGCAGGTGTCTCTGGTGAGGAACGAACGCGCTATTGTCCTTTCCGGGGAGTAACGTGTTCACCACCACACCACGAGGGTCTTTCGTTTCGCCTGTCTCTTAGCTAGTTCTATCGATCAGCGCCATGGTGTGGTGGTGAACGCGTTACTCCCCGGAAAGGACAATAGCGCGTTCGTTCCTCACCAGAGACACCTGCGGTCCAGAGTTTTGGAAATATCTCAGCAGCGTTGTGGTTGTATTTCGCTTAGTAGCCTGCCATGAAAATTGTAGTAGACAGAAAATAAAAGGTAAAACAGTGGAGATTGTTTGGATGTTGTCTTGCTTGCTTAGCTGATTGTATCTCATCCAAAGTCCTCTATACGCTCGATGAGATAATCTTCATGAGGAGTATTCAACATGCGTGGAAGAACTCACTAAGTAAATTGGGCAATAGTTGCGAAAACCTATCCTGACGTTTTTCTTTTTGAGCATTCCCCATGTGGTGATGGAAGCGCTTTTAAATTTCTTGATTCAAAAGCAAAGACATATATGGGATTTTTTTAGAGTTCTTCGAAAAATAGCTCGTAGTCCACTATCGGGTCCTCCTTGATCGCGTAGGAATAGGATTTTGTCCAGAGCCTTCATATCGTCGCGACATGTCAGTTTCTCTTTTGACAACGTAATGACGGGACCCAAAATCGGCTTTCTATTAGCCTGGACATTGGATTACAAATCTGTCGTTCTCTTTTTTCCAGTGTCGCGGGGTTGTTATTCAGCACACGTTTACTTCTTTGCGTATGCAACACGTACAACACAACAATAGCTGACGTTTCGGCAGTATCGCCTTCTTCAGAGTCTGGAGGGATGCACTAACATGTAATTTAGGTTAAACACTTCAACAGCAGAAACAGTAAGGTGGAAATTTGAACAATAATTACACGATCACCGGCTTCTCGATAAACCCACCGTTTTTACCTGCTTTCCACCTAGAAGAACAGCTGCTAGAGTCGCATTTGGTTGATGACTGCGCCACACAACATCAAAAATAAATTTTGGGATATCGTTCTCGGATTCTTCGCATTTATCCAAAAATCCTCGAGGTGTTTGCGCCTTGGTTTTTTGGGATCCTCTGTGAGGATAATGACTTTTATATCAAAATCCCTTCCGCTATGTTTTTGTATCTATCCTATGCGTCCCTAGTGGCGTATCTTGTCTCACTTTTTGTTTACCATCTAGATGCTTTTATACGGATACATAATGGTCTGCTCGTTTCGCCAATACAATCATCTCTACTACAAGAGATCAGATATATCGTATTTGAACTCATGCAGTCATTGTCCTTGCCATAAGGGCAAATTACGGAATTCTGTGTTTCACGTAGAAGGGCGGTTACGAACTAACTGACTACGAAGAGTATTCGATGGTATTTCAATTATCGCTACCGAGTCCTCCAGACCTGCTCTTTAGAAAGTTGAGCGTCGTTTAATAGCTACGCTTACATCACCGCTAATAAGCAGCAGCATGAACCGGGACTTTCTTTCGGCGAAGTGTTTCGTTTCGGCGCGTCGATTTCCTTCTAAACTTATCCCGTGTAGCTACTGTTTGGTAGCCATTGGAGATGGCTATTTGCCGAACCAAGTCGCGCGATTCAGACATGTTTCGCCCTGTTTGTGTGTGTGCCTTTGGACCATCCTGGTTTATTTCTCTTCTTCCCACCCTCATACACAAAAGTGGCGCTTATCAGAAACGTGCTTCCAACAACCACTTCTGTGTGCTCGAAGAGGAAACTAGAGGAGGAATC